AATAGAAAGATCCAAAGATCAGCATTTATCTGAAATAAAAAGCTTTTGTAACATTATAAACTATTCCATTCAAAAGCTTGGAGTCAGTATGATTTATTTTATTTGACACTGATTTCACATTTCTTGTTTGTATGAAGGCTAAATACAAATAAAAGGTGTACATTAATTTATTTGTGCCATTTTTTTTTCTAAAATAATATATGGTTTTATATGAAGTGTCATAGACTTGCCAAATTCATTTTTCATAAGTTTGTTAGACAGACATCTGTTGTGGGCGTTCTTGGCAGTTTTTACGAGGCTTTTTTTCATAGTGTTATGCAGAGCGTGTGCAGAGCAGGGGGACGCGAGGAACAGTATTAAGAACTGCTGCTTTAGAACACTGGTTTTTAAACTTGTGAATCAATTAGAATTGTTAGAAGACAGAATCGCGATTCATATATGAATAGATTTTTACGTGCACCTCTAGTTTTCTCTTCCTCTTCTCTAAAGCAGCGCAGCATGGCCTCGCCCCCTTTGTTGCCTTTTCCCGAGGGCGGGGTTTATCTGGGTTTGTGATGTCACGAACCCGGGAAGTAACTCGTTGTAGTCCCTACCAGCCGTTTTTGTAGGCATTAAACTGCCAGAATTTTAAAAGACGATATCGCCGTTTGCATTGAACTTTCAGCTTCGTAACTTTGCAGATATTGTTTATGCTCAAACAGCAACATTACACGCTAATTAACGTTAAAAAAGTGAAATCGCAATGAACCACCCCTTTAATACATTTCATTTTTGAACTTTGGAATTTTATATTCCTGTTGTGGCTATCGTAATAGGACACTGATGGCTGTGATACATTTTTTCCCCCTCCAGTCTTTACCTAATGTTCTGCTTAACACCACAAATCATCCATTGTAAAATTGTTTCTCGTGGATTACTTTTTATTGTTTTGTCTGTAAGTTTTGGCTGAATATTACAATTGTTAAAACAACACAGTAAAAGAAATAATTCACCCACAAATAAACAAAATTGTCACCACTTACTCGCCCAAATGTTCCAACCCATACGTTCTTCTTACAGAAAAAAACGTATCTTTTGTCAGAAAGCATTTTTTAATATTAATGGAAGAGTAAAATTATAAAATTAATTGTTTTCATAGGTGAACCGTAATCCTTCTCGGTTGGTTAACTGTTGTACAGTTGGGTTATAAAATTAAGAAAAGTGGTTGTTTTGTCCAGTGTGACTTTTTAAACAAATGTATCAGTCTGGACAGAGTCTATTGAGGTTTGTCTTGCACAACTGAATTTGCTTTTAACGGCCTTAGCACCGTTAGCTAACTGTCAGCCAAACAATGCAAGTGCTTCAGTGGTTACTTCGGGCCTGTCCGAAATAGTCCCCTGTACCTACATTCACTATTCCCTACATTAGTTTAGTAAGATCAGTCACTCATTTTCATTCTGTCCTTCGAGTGGACAAATTCGGACACTGAGTGTACCAGAAGGGCAGGAATTCATTTGGCATGGCTCTCACAGTGCATGGGTATTTTATCCACTATGGTATTGGATACCACTACAAATGACTGTCCCCTCAATTATTGCACTGTTAAGGTATGGGAGTTGATTTAGGACACAGCCTTTGACTTCTAAACTTTTGTGGTGATGGAGAATTGCCCAGTGTAAGTTATCGGGATAATCAACGCAATTAGTGCAAAATCTGATCCTTTATCGCACTAAAAACATGTAACTCGTGAATCATCACGTCTGTCTGCTATCACTCTTTATAAAAATAGCTAAAAGTATGGGCCCTTCAGCATCAACACCAGCACCAGCCAACTCTGCATTAAGTGTGTGTTTAGTAACGTCATTATGACTGATTGGATGGAGTACATGCACACTTGGGTTCTGTTTGTTATTTGCCTATAAAATGTAAATGGTAAAAAACTGATGCCAAATTTTGTACACCCACCCACAATCAAATTATTGTTATTGGGCGGTATGCTCCATAGTCATATCGTTCTATAGTCAGCCTATGAGATCGCCGATACACGATATCATCGTTCTAATTTATTTAATTATTTACTTAGTTTCATAGCCGAGAACACAGAACAGTGTTGTTAGTCTTAAAATGTTAAATTACATCGGCGCCGATAGCCTTGTGACGCTGACCTGTAGCGCCGCTGCGTTTCCAGTGTCCCGAGTTCGAGTCCCAGCTCGTGGACCTAGGAACGAACACTTGTAATGAAGAAATAAAGAGTGTTCTGCCAATGTCTTGACATGTGGCCAAGTGTGGTCACCCATACTCAGAGTTTGTGCTCTGCATTTAACCCATCAAAGTGCACACATACAGCAGTGAGTAGTGAAGGCAACTCACATAAACCGTGTACACACACCCGGAGCAGTGGACAGCCATTTGCTCCAGCACCAACTGACCCCTGCTCTAAATTACAAATTATCTGGATGGAATTTTGCATACATTACTAACTTCTAGTGGAGAAACAAATAAGGTGGTGAGAGGTTAACATTTCCAAAAGAAATACCCCCCAATAAGGGCCACCCTAACGTACATCTGCACTTTGTTGTTTATGATGAGAGAATTCACGAGAGAGCAGAATTGTCAGCGATTGCTGAACAACAAAACTCAGGCGTTTCAGCAATGACTTATCTGAACGCCTCTGATTGGCCATCAAATTCATAAGCTCAACAGAATTGTATGCGATTGGTTATAACGTGTAACCTAGTAAAAACGCGTAAAAAGAAATATAATGGAACAAATAAGCCCTAATTAGATAATAATACTAGCCTAATAATAATAATAATCGTCTTGCTATCGCCAAAGGCATCAGCCGCAGGTGATATCTCTGACTATCATCTATAAACGATACTGTCGTCTATCGGCAAATCCTGTACAATAAAGGACCAGGGCAATGTTGCCATCTTGTGGATGTAGTAATTAGTGCAAAAAAAAAAAAGATGGTGCCTATGTGAGCTAAATGTACACTGTATGCGTGGTTTAAAAAATCTGGGCCCTCATTTATCAACAGTGCGTACGCACAGATGTGTGCGTAATGAGTGCGTAAGCACAGTTTCACGCAAAGTGTGTGATCTACCAACTTGAACTTAAATGTAGGAATGTGTGTAAATATAAGGACACAATAATAAACCTTTTCTACGCACTGTTGATAAATGAGGCCCCTGGATACTATGCTGATAAAGAAATTTACTGCACTTGCACTGTATGTATGCCTGATACAAACCAAAGTATATTTTGGGATTTAGGTGGACAGTAAGTTAACAACACACTTAAAGTCAAGTACAGACTACAACACTGGAGACTGTTGCCCAGAGAACACTACAAAACTCACAGTTTTGTTCAACTTTGTCACATTGTCAATATTCACTGTCAAGCAGGGTTCACACTGCCAGCAATTCACCCAGACAAAGCAACCGGACATCACTGCGAGCTGGCAGTTTCTGGCAAAAACAAGGCTATCTGGGAATGGCTTCCTCAAATGAAGCTTTAAACCTGCAGCCTGATTGTTAAACCTGATTGTTTGTGACATTCTTGCATGACTGATTTCCTAATTCCTAATTTTTTCTGCTTCCACAGGGTCATGATGCCTCCATGCTGAGATGTGTGCTAGCGGCCTGTCCGAGAGGCTGAGCTTGCTCTCTTTACCATGTAAATGCAAAAAGAAGCATGCTTTATTCCTCCACTAGTCCACCCGTGGCTTCAGGGCAGCCTAGTGCCACCCTGTACCTCACGCCTAAGGTGCTGACCCAGCCAGCGGGTACAAGAGCCATGGAGAATTCCTCGGCAAAAGTCAACAGCTCGCTAGAGCTCCGGGCGCTATCGGAATACGTAACGCCTTCAACTGTTTGGCAGGACCCTGTTCAGGGCCTGAACCTGCCCCTCCAGGTGTTCTTTGGCCTGGTCATCATCTGCATGCTGCTGCTGGCCTTCCTCGGAAACATGGTGGTCTGCCTCATGGTTTACCAGAGAGCCGCTATGCGTTCCGCTATTAACATCTTGCTGGCCAGTCTCGCCTTTGCCGATATGATGTTAGCGGTCCTCAACATGCCCTTTGCGCTAGTCACAACGGTGACCACGCGCTGGATCTTCGGAGAGGCGTTTTGCCGCGTCTCGGCCATGTTCTTCTGGATGTTCCTGATGGAGGGAGTGGCTATTTTGATGATCATCAGCGTGGACCGCTTCCTAATCATCGTGCAAAAGCAGGACAAACTTAGTCCACGCAGTGCCAAAGTGTTGATCGCGGTCTCGTGGTCTCTGTCTTTCTGCTTTTCTTTCCCACTTTCCATTGGCCATCCGGCCCTGTACATTCCACCCAGAGCACCGCAGTGTGTTTTTGGCTACACGGTTGAGCGAGGCGACCATGCTTACGTGATGCTCATTATGCTGGTGTTCTTCTTTGTACCATTCCTGGTGATGCTTTACACGTTCATGGGCATCTTGAGTACGCTCCGGCACAACGCGCTGCGCATCCACTCCCACCCCGACTCGCTGTGCCTCAGCCAGGCCAGCAAGCTGGGTCTGATGAGTCTGCAGAGGCCCTTTCAGATGAACGTTGACATGAGCTTCAAAACACGTGCCTTCACCACAATCCTCATTCTGTTCTCAGTCTTCACCGCATGCTGGGCTCCATTCGCCACCTACAGCCTGCTGTCCACCTTCAGTCGTGCCTTCTACTACCGGCAGAACTTTTTCGAGATCAGCACGTGGCTGCTGTGGATCTGCTACCTCAAATCGGCCCTGAATCCTCTCATCTACTACTGGCGAATCAAGAAGTTCCGTGACGCCTGCCTTGACCTGATGCCCAAGTACTTCAAGTTCTTGCCGCCGCTGCCTGGCCACACGAAGAGACGTATCCGGCCCAGTGCTGTTTATGTGTGCGGGGAGCATCGATCTGCGGTGTAGTGGAGGACGTTTCTGAAGCTTCTTTTGTAATTCTTACGGTACAATCTTATCAAGCTGTGATATGTTTGGTCTTTCTTCGAACCGCAGGATGTTTTTAGCTGTAAAAGATTGTACAGATGAGACGGTTTACAGAGCCTGTACATTAAACTACTTTAATTGCACAATGTTTTTTATAGGATTTAGATCGTAATAAAAGTTTGTTCAAGTCAGGTGCTGCTATATTTGGTGAAAATGTGCAATCTTCTGTTTTATGCCATGAATGTAATACGATTTTGTGTGCTGTGTTTGTTTTTTTGTTTTTTTTGTTTTTTTCTGGCTTTGTGATTCGGTTTTACACTTAACTATTTTCTATTTAATTTTATTGTTGATTGCTCAGCTAGGGAGGATCGCTCAGTTTTCAATTATTTTCAGTGTGGAGATAAAGGAAAGGCATTTTACAAAGGTGTAAGCAGCATGTTCCAAACTGATAAGTAGATGACTTTGTGGAGATACATGATTTTTAATCTGAATTTTAAAATTGTGATTTCCATGGAAATTAATCAAATCCAATTTCCAATCATGGAAATTAATAAAATTAAAACTCATGGAATTTGTGTGGTCATATACATTTTTCTAGTTATGACTCATTGTGTAATCTTCGTTCAGTTTTAATTCAAATAATTTTTAATCGACTGATTGGAAAGGTCTCAGAAGTGTATCGGCCGAAAGGTAGAGGAACCGCGTCGATATTTGTGTACAGCACAAGGTTGTTTTATATATCATATGAACAGCATCTAACCAATTGCTTGTTGCTGACATGCCATTAAAAACAACCAACCAATCAACCAGCTGAAGGATTTTTTTTTTCCCTCTCAATGTCAAATGGCAAGCATCAGTTGAGACCGCAGCGAAGGGTTGATTTGCTTCTACAGTGTCCGTCTGAGCCTTTGTAGTGTGCCGCCTTCATTTAGATGATGATTTGTTCTGAGGCTGGCCAGGCTGGAGGTAAACCCTGAAGCTTTTTGAATCTGAAAGGTAATTTTCCTTTACTAGTGTCCCTTGTGGGGTTCATTATTTCTCCAGCCACCGCTAATGAGGATGCTGTGGGCTTTAGAAGCTCATCAGAAGCAATGTGTGGAACGCTATTACTTAGCAACAGTATGTATTACTTGGGAACCAGCTTGTATTATTTAGAGTTCGTACACTCTGGTGGGAGTTTTTGTTTTTTGGAGATGCCATTATAACACTGACATAAAACAGGCTTTCTCATTTTTGTGGCTTTGTAATGTCACGAAAAAAATAATAAGATGCTTTGAAATCACACCCTATCTTGAATGATTTAGTAAATGATTGTAGAAATATAAAAGGTTTAATATAAAGAAATATAATTTTTTTTTTTTTAAGATTTAGAAATTTTGTTGGTTTAACCAAATGGTCAAGAACAGATATCAAGTTTTCTTTATCAAGGTTTCCATCTTGTTTACATTTTAAAGAGTTTAAGTTAAATAGAGCATTCTTGGAATATACAGTAAATGCTCCTCCAGCATGGTCTATAAAATGAAATTATAGAGATAAATATGTTTTCATCTAATGTTTAAATTGAAAGTTCTGTGTATGGTCATGTCCATGGATAATTCAAGCTAAAAAGTCATTTTTAAAAATGAGACTTGTTGCAGTTTTTAATTAAATTTCATTACATTTTACTTGTATTTTAAATTCCTAAGTTTCAATTTAAACAACAAATTTTTGAATGTTTGTCATTTCACTTCAAATTCAGGAAATGTATTTGAATTTTTAAGTCAACTATGAATAGTGGTCGAATGTGGCAATGGTGTTCACCATGTCTTTTAAACAAAACACAACACTTATATTTGTAAATTTCATTGTATATTTATTTGCCTTCATTTTAGTTTTATGAAACCACATTTATCACTTTCACACAAAACAAAAGAATAGAGCAGCCATTTGAAAAATGAAAATAAATTCCCCTCACACACCTTTGTGTAATTATCAAAAAAAGTAACATGGTTGTTGACAATGACTTTTAAAATGCTTTATGTCTGTCTATATTATGAAATTGATAATGTAACTTCATTCCTGTATATTTTATGAATATGCTTTATCAGATCATATGTACTTGTTGTTTGTGCATGTATATAGCTTTAGAGCATGTTCTTACATTTTTAGAAGTGTATATATGTCCATTGGGAGATGGTCGTTTAGATTTTTCTTATAGAGGTATATCAGTTTTCACACTCTAACTCTCAACTTCTATTGTTCGACTCAAAAAAAGAATTTACTCATCTCCCTGCCGTTCCCATGGCAACAAGGAGGAAAACGTGTTCAAGAAACCTGTCCCTGAACACTGCAAAGAAAAAGGGAAAATTACAAAAATGTAAAGGAGAGCAATTGTGTGCTTGTACAATAATAGCCATCTGGAACAACCATGTAATATAGTCCCTGCACCCTGCAAAGCTGCTTGTATTAAATGGCTTAACATTTTCACATCCTGGAGCTAACCGTTTACAAAATCACAGCTTTAATGCACAGAAGCTATACTTATATGCCCTGCTACTGCACAGACTTTTCAATAGGGCTTTCAAAGAAAACAACTAAAACCGAAACGACCACTACACAGATTCATGTTTAATACTGTAAAGCTGCTTTGACACATTCTGCATTGTAAACAGCTCTATATAAATAATGGTGACTTGACTACATTGACCTTGATTCACCACATATTCAAACAGACTTTTTAAGAAATTACACAGAATTTTATAAAATCGTGTCCCTTGCAAAAACTCTTTCAGCTGTTGTACCAAATGTCAGTTATCCAGTTCTCTTCAACAGGG